TGGCAGTGGTGTACCGAAGTAGGTTTTTTTGAGGCAATCGCCTCGTGGTTAAAATGGATGGTTGGGTGGGTGGGGTGGCCGACCAAACATGTTTAATGTTGATTGAGATTGATTAGTTCAGAGGTCAGAAATGCCTTCAGCTGCAGTTTATTATTCGTAGGACTTCTGTGTTTTGATTGGGTGGGTCCTAATTTTTTTTGTTTCGCCTCAATCGTACAAAAAATGTTCAGCAGTGGCGCTGCTGCTCGAGCCGACCAATGGATCCTACGCATACGCGCGCGCCGTTCAGCGGTTCGGTCGCAAATGAAACGGCGCGGGCAATTTGAAATCGACAACACGGCGACCGCGGCTCCGGACAGTACACTTTATCGCCGTGCGAGTATAAATTGAAAATAATAACACACTGTTATCTACGGGTACACAATTATTACGGACGTAGGTATATTATATAAATAGGTGGTACTCGTGTCGGATCGGTTTAATTAGACGTTTTATATACATAGTAAAAATGCCTGCGACGCGTCTTACACGAGAGTTTCGCGATGTTGCCGCCGCGATTGTTTACCGACCGCGGTCGTAAGGTACCTACATAATAACCGTATATTGTATTTTCGTCCTCTCTCCTGCTCGTTTCATTCATACGTACAGATTATTCCGTACACACGACCGAATAACGCGTATAGTATAATAACGGCGACAACTCGCACTGTTACAATAATATTAAAAACGCGGATTTAAATTGGTGCCTCTATATAATACCGATCGCGCGGTGTTTGAATAAATCGGCTCGTATAATGGTTACAACAGGTGCCTTGTGTATACCTATACGTATCGTATTAAACGAAAACCGTACGCGTTATATTATACTTATTATTACGATTTATCGTATCTTTATGGGTGTGAGAAATCGTGTTTAAAATCGTTTTGATAAAAAAAAAAAAAAAAAAAATCTTTAATAATAAAACAATAATAAACAATAACGCGATAAATATCGGCTGTATGGTACGCGCGAGTGTAATATACGTATGTACATTATATTATACGGTTACAGGTCAGAAATGCTGTAAATACGCGCCCGTATAATATTTATGGTACACCGTAAATATGTTCGCACGCGCCGAAACTCCGGTTTTCAAATAGTATACGCGCCTACTCGGATATCGCCGTAGCCGCAGAATGAATAACGAGCTACGATACGTGGAATTCTAATATTACGTTATTATTCGTACCTATCTACCGTGCCGACATCACAGACTTCCTTTTAGCGGTACGGTATCGCCGCAGTAGCGTTGGGCGGTTATTTTACAGGCTGGGGTGGACCAAGCATTTTTTTTCGTGGCGTTGTGAAATTCGAAACCCGAGCACAATGATTTAAAGATCCGCGCTGCGGAGAAAAACTGTATAATAACAGTCGGTTTTTCGTAAAAAAAAAAAATAATAATAATAATAATAAAAACAGATAATATGTCGTTTTTTTCCAAAACTCTGATTACCTTTGGAAATATTTAGTTAATGGCAAGATATAATTAGATTAGATTAGGTTAGGTTAGGTATCTTGTTTATTTATTTCTATTGAGCAATCCAAGGGCAGAAGCACTTTATAGTAAATGATGCTACAAAGAAAGCAACAACCAAGAACATATAAGAATAACATTAATAATTTCTTCACATAAAAAAGGATGTCTACCGGTCTGTCTGACCTTTATAGAATCATAAAACTACTGGACAGATTTTCGCAAAACGTTCTGCGTGGTCTGGAGAAAGTTAACGGTTATTTAAGTTTCTAAAATTCAACCCCTAAAGGATAGCTGACACAGGGATTTTGGTATTTTGTGATATTATTTTTTATTTATTAATTGAGACAAAAACTTACTTGATAACAAAGTAAATATTATTATTGTTTTTGTTAATTATTTGGTATCTATGGTATCTACTAAATATTGTTTGTGAACTCAACTACAAAAAAATAATAAAATCTAACAAAAGCAAAGCATTGCCGGTGTAACCGTTGATTTCGACTCCCCAACGATTCGTACTGGGGGTGTAGATTTCGTAGAGAAGTCGAAAAATTCTACCAAAATCGACTCCCTTCCAGTTAAACTTGAACCATAAATCATAATAATATAATTATTTAGTAATATAACACATGTATAAATAAATGTACATACATTACATATAAACATGTAATATGTAACGAAAAATTATTACAATAGTACCTGCCCATGTGGTATATTATTTTCGTTAGTAAAAAAGAGTACGCAAGGTAATCAACTATTTAATTAAAATCGTAAAAAGAATGTATAGAATAAAATCAATGAACGTTAGGGAAAATTCTAAAAAGAAAACAGTCGAAATAAACCCTGTGGTATCGACTCCCCCATTATAAATCGTTCAAAGGAAGACTCTTAGGGTATGAGAATTAGCACCCCAAGTTGATCCAGTTAGTTTCCTAATCAGAGAGTTTCTGGCGTTTAACTTTTGTCTCGTTATAGAAAGATTGTCAGAGTTCATACAGAGTTGTTGGTATTTTTCGAACGACAGTAAAAATTTTATAATACATTGGCGACACAAATAAAGGGAAAACATTTATTTATTTCGGTTGTCACAGACGCGAAAGTACCTTTTTTTTATAATTGATAAATTACCAGGCAACTACGATTAACTATGACAGAGATAATGGCCGAACGGAGAAGACGCGTTAAATTGAATTTGTTTTATTGATTTCGGTTTTTGAAAGGATTGAGACCGGGAAATACCGATGAATTCAGCTATAGTATATTAAATGATTGTGTTATCGGTTCATACCATACATACGCATTGGCCTTTTTAGAAAACTTCAAAATTATTGAACGTTATTTGAACAAATTTCCCGTTCATTAAGTGCATCGTTTTCCTGTGATATAACGAATTAAATTACCGCTCAATGCTATTCTATAATACTACTACTGTATATCTGTTAACTAAATGTCATACATGAAGCTGATTTTAACTTCCATGTTGATTGTTGATGTTATATATCAAAGTCAATCTTTTGATTACTTTTAAATACATACCTATACTACAGTGTTGTCGTATTTGACGAAGTGATACCCATAAATTAAACGCGGTTGTTACGCATAGTTCAATAACAAGATTTCCGAGTTAGATATATGTATATTTTTTTTTCATACACGAGACACGCATAGATTCACCACAGCAGTTGATCGACGCCATATTTTTATGCTGCCGGTCTATAATTGTATCGTGTGTAAAAATTAAAATTAAAAAAAAAAAATAAATAATAAATGATCATTACAGTTTATAAAAACAGTATTACTTATATTTTCATCGCCGAGACACCTAGAACATAACATAATTACAGCTCTATAAAGATGTTAACGCGCGTGTTAAGTGTTAACACTTAACCGTATAGCTACCCGAGAAACTGTAAATATAATAATAATAATTTTGAACAATGTCGATTGTATTTCACGATAACGCCCGCAAAGCCTCATAGCTATAGAATATATTATTATTATTATCTGAATAATATCATATTATACACGTTACATATTATGCATATTAATATAAGCTCTTTAGCGTCTCGTGTACGTATATTAGTAGCACAATTATTTTTTTATTATTTATCGGTTGTATTTTATTGCCCGCTATGATACAGGTAGTACACCTATAATAATATATTATAGACTTTTATACAATATAGATTTACTGTGTACTTTTTTAGATTCTAAGCGAAGCGAAGAAGCTTATAGTTTTACAAAGATGTTTATTTATTTATTTTTTTTTTTTCTGTGTTCAACTCTTCTACCAGAGAACTTGCTCGGATTTCTACGAGTAGCACTATTTCTGAAAGACAATCGACGTGGAGAGATTACTTTAGGGAGGTCATTTTCAATTTTCTCAAGAGTTTTCTAATCAAATTCGAAAAACTGAAAAAAAAACGGAAAAATTTAAGAAATGTAGAATTTTCCTAGCAAATGTGAAAAACGTAAAAAAAACAGGAAAAATCAGTAAAACATTACACAACTGTTATTAAAGAAAATATATAAAGCGTAAATAATTATTTTACTCTAAAATTACATACAGTGAGTGTAAAAAGTATTCGTACACCCTACTTTTTTAAATAAATATACATTTCTCTTCATGATATTCTATTTTTATCGATATATTAATACATGCATATTATTCATTGACGATTTTTAATTATATTATAAAAAAAAAAAAACCATGACAAATATTGTATTAATAATAATATTCAATAACAAACAAAACAATATATATAAAACAGGAACAATAAATATTCGTACACTTCAATTTTAGTTACGGAATCACCTGTTTACTTACAATAATGTTATTAGAAAACGATAAGATATACAAAATATCACATTAAAAGTTTGTCCCCGACCACGTTACAAGATTATACCAATTCAGTTAGCTTAGAATTATTATTGGAATTATTTGTCATCTACCACAAAATGAATCGAAAAAAAGCGAGACAAATAAAACTGAACGTGAACTAATTCTGTGGTTGCATAATAAATGCCAATCATTACGTCAAATATCAAAAATTGTCAACAGAGCTCATAGCACTGTGAAAGACGTGATAGATCGATACAGTGAGCGGAAAAGTCACGAAAATAAGCAACGATCTGGTCGTCCAAAAAAACTTTCTGACCATGATAAACGTATAGTTTAACGAAAAGTCAAATTGAATCCAAAAATAAGCGCTCCTAAAATAGCACAAGATCTTGCGAATTTTTCTGGAGTACGTATTTGTGTACAACTAAAAATTGTTTAAAAAATAGTGATTACCATGGACGAGTAGCTCGTCGAAAATATTTTGTAAATAAAAAAAATAGACAAAAGAGATTTTCTTTTGCAAGAGATAACTTACATCAATCTGATAACTTTTGGGACAAAGTTATATTTACAGACAAAATTAAATTTAATATTTTTGGCTCTGATGGTAGACGTTTTGTTTGGAGAAAGCGAATACAGAAATGGAACCAAAGAATTCACAGCCTACAGTGAAATCCGGAGAAGGTTCTGTAATGGTTTGGGGATGTATGAGTGCTCAGGGTGTTGGAAACTTGCAATTTATTGATGGAATTATGAACCAATATATTTATTTAAATATTTTGAAGACAAATCTTGCAGCTAGTACCGAAAAAATGGGCATCAAAGATGATTTCATATTTACACAGGACAATGATCCCAAGCATACTGCAAAAAAAGTTAAGGCCTGGTTGTTGAACAATGTAACTGAATATCTTGTAACGCCACCACAGTCTCCAGACATTAATCCTACTGAGAGTTTGTGGGATTGTTTGGGCAGAAAAATTCAAGATCACAATATTTCAAGTAAGGAAACTCTAAAAAAAACTCTAGAAGAGGAATGGAATAAAATCACAGCAGAAACAACACGTCATCTGGTTGATTCAATGTCTAAGAGGTTGGAGGCTATAATAAGGTCCAAAAGCTACCCTACAAAGTACCAAATACGGTTGTACAATAATTTAANTTTGTTATTGAATATTATTATTAATATAACTGTTGTCATGGTTTTTTTTTTTAAATTTAATTAAAAATCGTAAAAGAATAATATGCATGTATTAATTCATCGAGAAAAATAAAATATCATGAAGAAAAATTAATATTTATTTAAAAATGTATAATGTACGAATACTTTTTACACTCACTGTATACATTGTTGACAAAGCATCAACTGAACTTCGCTTAGAATCGTTTTTTCGTAAGCAATGGTTTTATTATTACTTACAGGTATACATTAAATTATCTATAACAGTGGCTGCACCCTCCCCCATTATCCTAGGACGTCTTTTTTATAACACTTTCGTACTTTTCTTTTATATTCTGAACGTAGCGAGAAATGTCTGTAATGTTTTACTATATTTTGATGTGTGTGTGTTTTGTTTTCACTCTGTAAACAACTTTTCTACCAGTAATCTTTCTCCGACCATTAATATGATCTCTTCTAAAAGCAAATTTCGTCTAGTTATAGTACTTTGAGAAGCACACACAAGAGTATTTATACTTTTGAAGCCCCGGGGCATTATACATTGGCACCCGTTCAAAAAACAAAAACAAAAATCGCATGTTGCTATATTAAATTTATAACTTTATATGAGATTATTTATTGATTTTTGTTGTAGTTGTTTAAACAACAATCGGGGAAAAAGTGTATTAAACAAATTTAACCAAACTACCATTCAGAATCAGTTTTCATTTGCATCGATTCACCATTGAGTACAGATATAAATTAAATTACTCTATATACCCTACCGATCTTTCCAACTACAGTGGTACACCCGTCAGTGGTAAAAAATGTATTAGATAACTTTTCTTTGCCTTCGTGACTAAAACATCCACGGTCGGATTTTTTCGATTGATTTTCCGGACGTGTCATGGCTTTTGGGTTTGACAAAAAAATACATAAATAGGAAACAAAAATAAAAATGCTTGCTTGAAAAAAAACAAAACAAAAAATATCGTGTATTATATTGATTATCCTGAATCAAATGTATAGCCAAGTTCATCGGGCCAAAAAAAAAAAAAAACAAACGCCTACCTACTCTATATACTTGTTAACTCTCCTCGATACGCATTTTCCGTTAAAATCTCTGAAAACTCTGACATTCCTAGTTTCAATGAATGTATTGTAACGTCAGCGATTTCATACGAAATGTTGATCCTTCCATCACACTTTAGCTTTAACTCCGTATACATATAGGTAGGCAGTGTTGTTAACGTTCCTTTCAAAAAGGAACTCGTTCCTTACTTGAACAGTTCATTTATGCATTTACCTAATGCAGTCAAAAATAAGTTGTTTATATTCTTAATTTGAAAGTATCACTAATTAATTTGCTTTGGAACCCCAAATCGCATATCAACAAAAAATCGATTTAAAGAGTCTTATTAATTAGATTCAAAACTCGATAAGGGAAATTTAACTCCCCAAATGTGTTGTAGAACATACATTTCAGAGAAAAACAAAATAATTAAAATATTCACGTTTCTATTGCTTTAAAAAAAACAACGGAATTAATTCCTCAATTCGTTTCTCTAAAAATAAATCAATTCCAGGAATCACTCCTTTAGGAACACGTTATGGTAGGTCGAAATTGTCGGTTGCGGACGCATAATTCGCGGCGTACTATTTGATTTGCATTTTTCGCGTGATCGATCGCCGACGAAGATATCGAGTACCTGTATATCGATTGTTATTACATACTCTCGAGGCGACGATATATAATATTATATTACACACACTTGCAAATATCTTCTAAAGATCACGAAACACCACCGCACTACATATTATTACAATATACATTTTGAGAACAGACGGTAATTACAAAATATTATAAGACCTCTATCCACCCTATATAATTACGCAATTGTCGTTGTTCCGCATTGGCACGGTTGCGCAATTTTTAAGTACGAATATGTTTTTGTTTTTTTTTTTTTTTTTTTTTTTTTTAACACCGGGCAGCAGCATTGGCTATTATTATGTTGTACATAGGCGTTGATATATTTGTTTTTTTTCTTTTCCTATACTTAAAATGCTCTCACACGCAGTACCTATATTCTGTTATTATATACCTATAATCGTGTATAGATATACGCATATGCCTGTATAATATCTGATGTCTTTTATCCGGCCATCAAGCTATATAACACGTCAGTTTTTTTTTTTTTTCATTTTCACATTATATTATTTTTAATCGTACCTATACACACACACACAGATAGGTACTTAATATATTATGTATGTATTTTATTTCGTTCATTTCGTTTTTTTTTTTATTTTCTACCTACCCATTGAGTGTTCACGATGTCATGATGCCGTGTGGCACTCGCCACCGCGCTGACGATCTGACAGACATAGTCTGACGATTATTATTATTATTATTATTATTATTATTGTTAACCTACGAGCGGTGTACGAAGACACGATCTATGACTGTAAGAGAAAATAATAATCATGATAATATTAGATCGTATTTCATTATTCTTAGTCCGACCGACGACCCCGCATATTCACCCCCGTATCACGAATTATACCTATAGTACGTCAACCTATCCGATAGGTGTTCTTGTCGAGATGTAACATAATCACCACCACTGTATCGAACTGTCCACGGTTTATATTCGAGTACTAGCATTTTAATTAATTATAGACAAATAATAAATATGGGTTACGCGCAATAACCAGACTAAAACTCAATTTTTCAAAAATCAGACAGTCTTATAATAATAATAATAAACAAAATAAAAATCCAGTTTTACATGTACCAGCCTTTTTTTCGAGATGTGAACTATTAAATTTATAATCTACAATTTTTGGAGTTTTCAAATGTTCACCTCCCAGAATTTCGATAAAAACACTTCTATATAGGTGCGCGAATACGTTTCGTTGCTGCATAGAAAATACGAGAATAATTGTTTTCTCTATCAAAAATCGTCAAATCGTGAATTTTCCAAAAAAAAAAAAAAACAGAAAAAAAAACAAATAAAAAATAACGCAGGAAATGTCTATAGGTACTCTAAAAGTTATTCGCCAGAGCAATTTCTCGATTTACACCGACAAATATAATTTCAAACCTCCACGACTGATTTATTGATTATTATTTATTAGTACACATTGTTCGATTTATTTAGAGGTCAAACTACGGTTTTAAAAAAAATGTGATAAGGAAGAGGAGACTAGAGAACCAACTCCTTAGCTAATAAATTAGTAGTAAGAAATATATTTTATAAAGCCTTGACGAATGATGATATCCGTTTTAATAAGACTTAATTATTTTTGACCGTTACAATATTTTTTTGCAAGGATACCGTGCGATAGTGTGAAATGTTAAAAGTTCAGTTCCGATTTTTATTTATGATACAGTCAACGCTAATGACATTCAAGAAACTAATGTTCGAAATACCGAAACTCTATGTGCCTCGATTACAACAGACAAAACATATAAAAGAAATAAAAGGCCGTATTTGTTTATCAGCCTGTATGTTTTTAATACTATTTTGAAAAACTGCTCTCCAAAAAAAAAAATTCCAGATACTGTCTATACCGACGAGCACCCGAAAAACTCCGAAAATACACGTTCTTTTCTATTGACTCGGAAATTTTTCCGGGGCTTTTTGTCGGTCTCGTCGATTTCGACAAGCGATGTTTTGCTCGTGGCCGTTATCCCCGCGCGCGCTTCTATTTCGCGTGTGTCGATACGTGACATACGGCCGAACGGTACCGCGGCGATTGCACGCGCGGAGATCCGACAGTAATATTATTATTTTTATGACGGCTATAATGTTACAACGTGTGTATATGATGGGGTGGCGTCCTAATTTACGCGTTCTGCCGCAGCCGCTGCGACAGGTATCGAAATGAAACGTTTAAATAACCCGACAGTCCCGTAAATAGGTTTATCTGTTCCGCGCCTAAGCGTGTGCAGTATGTAAGTACCGCGATACGTAACTTTACGTTACATACCCACGACCGTCGAACATCGTCGACGCGAGTACACGCGCGGCGGAAAAAAAAAAATTCTCTTCGACCACGTCGGCTCGACTGCAACGCGCCGTTGCACAGCAGCGTGCACCGACTTATATTATCACGCGTATACCTACACGCATTATGTTTGTTGTCGTACAATAACGAAAACCGTGAACGCGTTTTGATTTCGCCCGCCGAAACGTAATCGGGGTCGGTTGCCGAGGCATCGCAATATGCGCGGTAAATACATACGAACACTTGCCACGACGTTTAACGATTGTAGTCGTAATCGGGATTTTTCAGCGCGTCGAATTTGTTTTCGGGTCCGATGCGTTTTCCGATCTCGAAAAAAACCCTATACGTCCAACAGTCTTTTTAAGGCGTATTCGAAAACTCGCGGAGCGGGCGGACGCGCCGGCTGCGCCACTGGTCTGTAAAGACGATTTTCCAAAACTGACGTACACATTACGGTTTTTCGTCGTTCCAAACGTCCACTTTATAGTTAAACCTGTCACCGCGTCGTTTTTACACAATGCACAAACACAATAATGTATTCGTTATTATTATTTGTGCATTTTCCGCTTGGATAATCTCGTACATTTAAATCTCACGTGCACCGCGTAATACGCAACAATAATAATGATAAGAAAACACCGTGGTTTATACACAAATAATGAAAAATCACACATCTTCGACACAGTATTCGACGCGATGACAATTCGTGTTCTAAATTTAATTTTAAAATAACGGAATAATATAATATAATATGTCATATAATTACGTAACAAACCTTGCTTAACTAATGCTTCTTTAGTTTGTCCTTTTTATCTATACATTATAGTAAATAAACATACAGGCGCATAGTACATACATAATATATATATATATATATATGTATATTATATTAAAACTTATTTATATATATATATATTGTGAAATCTCGTGAAAATAATTTCAAAGAATGTAAATTTAAAGCCAAGGGTCAGTACCCATATTTAATATGCAGTACATACATATATATAGCAATTATGACCTAGTTACGATGAAATGTGTATAATATATGATAATATTGTATTATATTGTTACTGTATGTACATTCGATAGGTAGAAAGTGAAAAAAGAAAAAAAAAAACGTAAAACCGTAGTATTGTAGGCGGTTCCTATTAAAAGTTTAAATGATATTAAAAAGGCTGCTAATGGGTTCAGTACCGCTATTTTCAAAGGAGATATGAAATGGTGAACATTATATTATGGAGAAATTTAATGTATAGCAGAACGTAGGGATAAACCATTGCAATGACGATAAACGATTCTGCGCAAAGTATTACGTTAGACGTATTTATGTTTCCTAATTGTCAATAAGGTAATCCAGAAGTCGATAAAAATTATGCAAACAATAATATCCAGTTTTTCCCGTTTATTAAAAAAAAAATTGTAAGAAAAATCAAAAAAAAAAATGACCACTCCGATGCACCGACTAAATGAACGATAATTCTATAAGAAAGTTTCTATAAAGTTTTTGATTGGAGTAATAAGTAGGTATTTTAGGTAAAAAAAATATGTTGAAAAAAAATAAAAATCAACCATACACCATAGTAAAACAAATAAACGCATTCCCCGCTTCGCTCAGACTCTAAATTTATCGATATTACAGCTTTTTGATTCGATAATTTAATTTCAAATTAATAATTGATTACATATTGGCTCGAAAATAAATCAACATTTATGTTCAAACCGAAATTGACGTTCTATA